CCTCGAGTCCCTCACAACTCAGTCAATTCCAATTAAATCAATTTTATTATGTGACAATTTATGACATATGTAAAGTAACTTATAAATCAATCAAATTTATTTTAAATATATGATAGAAGATTCATCCCACAATAAATGTCATTACCAAAAACATCATAAGCGTATTGAAAAATAATATAATCGATATAAGTTTTTATATTTGGTATGATAAACCAATAAAGATATACTTCTGAAAGGGATCTGACTCCCATCTAAATTCCTATTTTTTTTAGTACGAGATAGTTTCTATTACATTTTAAGTTTATTTGTTTGAAGTATAGTAATAAGGCATATTTTGGTCCCCATATGAGTCACCATCGACGTCACACGTCACGTCCCAACCAATGTCAGAATCCGACGCCGCACACCATCAGAACCCCGTGATGCACGTCAAGCCAGGTTTCGTATCGAGACACTATGCGACACAACTATCCCGATGACTCAGGGCGATGTTGTCCGATGCCGCTCAGGTATCCCCTAAGACGCTAACTAATCAGAAAAGTCATCCCATCCCACAAGGGTCAGCGGCCACACCGAACCGAGGCATAACCAATCCTCGCACAATAGTATATAAACCCCTGGCCGACGCTCGGCCAGGGGGAGAGAAAAAAACTTGATATAAAAAGACTTCACTAACTTGCTCGTCGGAGGGACCAAAGTCGGGAAACACTCGACGAAGACCATTTTGTAGGAAGGCAGACACCCCCGAACGGCGAGCGCCTCAACCCGGGAATTGCTATCTGGTATACGAGGACGCGCTACCATTTGTCCCGGAGTCGGAGAGACGTGTCCCACCACAAACGATGCCTGGGTCGGCAAACTGAGAAACGCTAATCAACATCCTCTCACGAGGGCCAAGTCAACTTCACCAGCCCGACTCTTGCCCGAGTCGCTCCGAAATGGCCAACCCCGTGCGACGAGCGTCTCGACCCAAAAGATACCTTCCATCGCACAAGGGAGAGCAGTGAGTTGGCCCGAATCCCGACCAATGCTGACCAACATTCATTCCCAAGGGCGTGGCCATCCCATCATCCTACTCACTCCGCAAGAAGCTTCCAACATCGACCCGTGGACCTAACCGTGCTGACTCATCAGCCATGATATTTTTATTCACTAACATATAACATTTTTGAATTTATTTACACGTATTTAAATAGACTTATATTATTTTATTGGAGGTGCCAATAAAATATATAAATAACAATATAAATCTTATGCAATGTAGAATTGATATTTTAGGATTATGCGGAACATGAGATATCTTTTTGACCAAAAATAAAGATGGAGATATCTCCCAATTCACCCAACAAAATATACCGTCGTCCACTATCTCGACGACGGTTGACTGATATTACGATTAAATAATTACTTGACAAAAAGACTGCGATCAAAAGTATATAGGAAACAATTACTTAGCAAAAGATTGCTTCAAGGCGAAGGGTTTCAGATACTCCAACAGACATCCCCATGTCTACAACACCGAACAATGACACCTGGGCCCACAACATCGCAAAAACCCATATTGATTGCTGGAGTCTTCAATAAATCGTTCCCACTCCACGATAAAAGCACACAAAAATATGTTGGACTTTGCGACTCCGGTGGACTGGAAAGTCCTGATGTGAATTGCATCAAAGTACGTGCAAATAACCCCATCTCAAACGACTCCCTTCGATCAGATGGATCTCGATCCAACCCACGGAACACAATTGTACACCCACCGATACATCAATTTTATGGTTACGCGTGGGGAGGGGTGGGTTGAATTCTTCGTACGTGATCGTAGGTAGGTGGTGGAACGACTTCATTTTGATCGATCGATCATGTAACATTCATATAAAGATTTAATTATTTTTAATAATAATAATTTAAATTTAATAAATTAATTATCCCCATCAAAACAGGTCGCGGCCACGTCTCCATCCGAAGTCGACGGGTCACCGGTCGATAGCCTCCTCACGGGCGCTCAACATGAGAGTCGGCGTCGCATCCTCGGCATTCTACCGCGACGCGTCAACGAAAAATCTCTGGCAGGGGAGCCACACGGTAGGCTCTGGAGGGAAATTTCTGGTATGCGAAGATTTCATCGTATTTCCGAAAATGCATATATACCCCTCCCAAGTCCGTGAATTTTATAACTACCCCTGTGCACCGACGGGTCTCCGGGGATCTTCCATCTTCCATTCTCCATATGTTCTAAACCCTGCGAAGGCCGTCGGCAAGAGAGGGGCGTGTAAGCCGATTCCTCTTTCTATACCCGATGGCGATTTCAGGGGATGGAGAAACCCAAACCTTCGGCCGATCGAGCGAGCCCTCGCCGCCCTCCTCGGACCTCCGCCGCCGCCACCGCACCTCCTCCCCCGCCCCTGCCACCGCCGACTACTCCTCGACGACGAGCTTTCCCGCCTTCGAGGCCTCGACCGTCGATTCCGGAGAGGAGTCCGGCGTCGAGACCAGTTCCGATGCGGATGAGTACCACCGGGTGACTGGCGGCGAGGACGGAGAGGAGAACGTGAGGCCAGCGATGTCGACGGGCAAAACGGACGTGGATGGGGGTCGCAGGAGCGAGGGGCTGGGAGTGGGAGGTACGGTTCCGCCGCAGTTCTTGTATCGGGCGTCCTCGCCGGCGCACGTAAAAGTGAAGGAGAGTCCTTTGAGTTCGGATGCGATCTTCAGGCAGGTAAGCCTTGTTCTTGATTGGGTTTCCGTTGGATTTGGCCGCGATCAAGTCCTTGGCGCCGATTCGAGAAAGTTGGGTAGACGTGTGTTATTAACTTTTCGTTCAAGATCCAGTCTCCGACATTCATGCTGTCATGTAGTCGCAACATTATGTTTTGCTATTAACAATTCTTGCGTGTTTCTGTTTGTGTGCTTTTGAACTTCTGGTTCTGAGTTTTCGTTCATTCTTTACCTTTTCGAAAGCTTTTCATTTGAAGATTTGGTTGTTCTGGACTTCCAACCCTAGCGCGTTGTGTATGACATAATTTTTCTGAGAATGAATCCGAGGTGCCATCTGTAAAATTTTTGAGAGTGCGGATATATGATGCAGTTGACTGGCTGGTGTCTGTACCGCGGAATATTAATTGTAGGTTAATTCTTACAAGCAATAGAGAGTCCCACACCTTTCACGTTTCATGGTAGCTATGTGAGCTCTTTTACCATACGATCAAGCTGAAAAATAAAAGGTGGATTATCTCGATAATCATTGATACCAACATCTTTAGATTCAGGTATATAATTTAAAGAAACAATTTATAGACAACTGTAGTTCCATGCTCTGTGTACTCCTTTTACTTACTTTTTTTCTTAGATAATTTATTTAATACTTCTTTATCATATAATATTTGATATTATCTGATTATTCGTCTAAACTTGGCCCCTCTTCAGCTATGGTTTTGGTTCCGTCCTAGTTTGTTGGGAAGCTGAGCGTTCTTCCAAATCATTATTTTGCAAAAGTACTTGTTAGTGATATAAATCATAAAAGAAACTCTACAATCTAGAATGTCAGTAGTATCCATGAAGCGCCTTTTCTGAAATTAGTTATGTAGTTATTCCTTTTTTAGCTCAAATTTCAGTGTATAGGTTCATATGCAATCTAAAAAGAGCACAACTGACAAATTTTAGAACTACCTTGTACTTTAGTCCTTCCTTTAGTAGGGATATCTTGTATTAAATTATGTCTGATATCTTGTTCTGTGGTCTATTTCACCATGCTTATTGTGTCCAAGTCTCACATGAATCCCCATCTTTTACAGAATGATGTGTTATTAATGATACATATCTTGTGGTTCATGTTGCATGCTGGCATACTGTGATCTTTTTAGTAATTTGAATGAATTTGACTCAATGATTTCTGAATATGGAAATAGATCTTGTCTTTTTGTGGCGCTTGATGAGATTATATTCTTAATTTGCATTGTTACGCTCGGCTTTTATTCAAAATACGTCTCTGTTTCATGACAGAGCCATGCAGGTCTTTTTAACCTCTGTATAGTAGTGCTGATCGCAGTTAATGGAAGGCTTATCATTGAGAACTTGATGAAGGTTGGTTCTTGTTCTACCTTTTAGTTTAATAGAACCACTATTCAACTTATTCTCTTTTTTCTAGATTTTATACTTGCAGCTATGATCTTATTGTGTGTGCCTTCATGTGTATTTCCCCTTTTTGTGAGCATATCTATATTTGTACAAGATCCAAGAGTTCATAGAAAGTTTTGATGTAATTCTCCTTTTGCAGTATGGTCTTCTTATAAGGGCTGGGTTTTGGTTCAGTTCGAAGTCACTGAGAGATTGGCCACTTTTGATGTGCTGGTAATTCTTTTAACTAGCCACCGCTACTACTTCCTAGTACAACTGTAAATTGTATCTGACGTCATTAAATTTCCAGCCTTACGCTGCCCCTTTTCTCTCTTGGTGCATTCCTGATTGAAAAACTAGCATGGCACAAGTTTATTACAGAACCAGTAAGTAGGTTCTGATATGACTCCCCTTTTTTTATTTGCTTTATCAGGATCAATTGTTGGACCTTTGAAATTGAAGTGTGATCAAGTTTATGTATTTCGATGTGTATTTCCGTTTGTTTTTCTTATTATCCTCTCCTTGATTATATGCAGTTAGCTATCTCTCTTCATGTGACTTATTCAGAGCTTTCTGTTTTACTTTTGTTTCAAGCTGTTGTTTCTTGTTGAATACCGATGGTCATGAAGTATTTGCTGAGAACCCAATTAGTCCAAGAATACCAAATGCAGTGAGTGTGCCTTACTGATGGCATTCCATGAGGATACAAAAATCTTTTTCATCCAACAAGGACTGAAGGTAGAAAGCCTCCGGAGAATATTCACCAAGAACAAACTAGAAAGAGTTCAAGGGAATGATCACAAAACTAGAACTTGTTGTTTAAGCTACAAAGACTAATCCATCCTCTTTATAATCATCTGTCAAAAGAATAAAAATAAGCATACCTCCCATCTCAGCATCGGAGACAGATACAGATGAAGATGGTCTTCCAGTAACTAGGCTTCCTTGGACACTAAAAGCCTTGCAAGATCTCCTATTGTTGAACCTAGTATTATCCGGATATCTGTTTGCCACATGGTGCTTAAGATATAAGCTAGAACCCTTGATCCCAAGGGTCTGATGAAAAGAGCCTGATACAACTCCACTGGAAGCAGACATCTTCCTTTACAGCACTATACAATTTTTCCCTAACAAAAAATATAAATTTAGGTCAGTTACCATGAATCACTAACTGGATAAAAATTAACAGTTCTTATGAAAAATTGTTCATAGTTCCCAGTAAAATTCATTTGTTTGACTAGTATATCCCTGAAAAGAAAAGAAAATGATTGGAGTAAGCAATGTTTACATGCAAAAGAAGTATTCTTCCAACGTGATTGAATTAAATACCCAAGATATGTGTTTTTTCCATAAAATTACAGTTTAGGGGCTTTTCTCACCCTTAACATAAATGGGTTGATTCATACAATATTTTGGTAGGAAGAAGAACGAACTATCTAGCGATGTGTGATGACCATAATACTTCGTCGGGGAACCGTATCTGCTTCCTTTCTCCCGTTAAACTAGCAATATTGTTCTTTCAAGAACAACACGAAACACCAAAGGAACAGGTATAATCCAAGAACCCAATTAAAAAGGCAATTTTTATCTCTTAAGAACAAAACTTTATATATCCCGTGCCACGACAAGCATAAAAAAGAAAGATTGCTAATTCCAGAAAGAATTTAGTACCAAAATACAACCAAGTAAAAGAAACACGGGACAACAATGAAATTGTTCCAAAGAAAATCTCGAAATGAAAACCAAGTGAAGCACAACAGGTCCCAATATCGCCGATGGGGCAAACTATCGTGAATGAGTGAGAACCACACTAGGATCACATCAG